TTACAACACTGTCCACAGAAACCGGTCCGATGTGAAGCGTGCGGTTGTTATCCGTGACCCAAAGGTAGAGCGCATTGGGTTCACTCGCTTCGAAGGGATGGCTAGCTTTATGGGTGTACAGCATGACCTTCCTTCCCTCAATGGTCGCGGTGATGAGAGCTCCCACATGCAAACCTTCGTCCAAAGAAGCTCCTGATCGTGGCCTGACCCACACGCCTGGGAGTGTCCCGATGGCCTCCGTCCACGTTTTCCCCATGTCACACGACTCAAACACCTTGCGGCCACTCCCACAAAAAGCAACCATGAGAAGCTTTCCATTCTCCCATTCGGTGACGCGGGCGAATGCATTCCCCAGGAGATACGCCCTCTGGGAGCACCCAGTTGTTGCCTTTGCCCGCCGAGCAAATACTCATGGAGAAAGGGTGATTTTTCCCATTCGCCACCGTCAGGGGAAACACAAGCGTGTCATTCTGCATCAAAATGCCTGAGCCACCAGCAGTCAAAAGTTCCCTCAGGTGATCTTGAGTGTGTGTGGAGATCTGTTGTGAAAGTGAATTGGGTTCAGCCCAGTTGATCAGTGTACTCTGCACGCCGTCCTTCGACTGCGTGGCCACACCTTCAACCAGTTGAATATCCCAGCCACCTTTCTCCCACATCTCATCACCACTGCCATATCCTACAGTATCGCTTCCCACAAGCAGAAACACCTTATTGTCCCCTGCAATGGATGCGGGCCAACAAAAAACGCGCAAACGATTATTGCCATTCCTACTGCCAAGCACGGTGCGTGCACTCCACTCCTTCTTGGTGATCTCAGCAACAATGGACGGCCACGTCTCCGCAACCTTGATGTGCCCAGCCACAATGTCGGAAGACGAAATCCAAAATGAGTTATGTTCCTGGACTTTATACTCGAACAAGCCTTCAGCAATGGCAACCATCACCCCACCAGCACGGACAAGAGAGGGTGAGACAAATGCTTTCTTCACTTCAAATAAACCATCCCCATCTCTTGACACCACCTGCGTCTTATTCGGCACAAAAACGTCGATCTCCTGCGCCAGTTGCTCAACCCCAGACTTACTCTCCACAGCGTGTGCACCTCCACAGTCGCACAACATCATCACGACAAGGAGGAGAAACACCGTAAAATTAAATACACGCCGGGACATGTTGGGCCTCTGCGGCTCACTCTCTCTTCCTTCCCTCCTCCTTCCGCCGGATCCGGTCACGCGGCGAAGGTTGTGTGTGCGGGGTGCCTTCAATGCAGCAACAATTGAGAGCATACAAATATGTGTGCGTTTGTGCTGTTGGTCCTTTCAGAGTCTTCGAATTTCACAGTAGCGATTAGCGCCCAATTTCCTAGCGTGTCTCTGTGTTCAACAAGTGGAAAGGACAACGACAGCGGCAGAGAGGCAGTACAACAGCAGTACAAACCGCCACCACTCACAGCGAACCACAAAATGACCATCCCCGCAGTCAATATTCTACAGCACCCCTCAGCAGCATACAAAAAATAGGGGAAAATGTGAGCAGCCTCCCAATGGGGGACCGCAGGCTATGGTCCTGCAAACAAGACAAATGACAGGGGACCGTGTGTGCAGTGAGAAGCACGAGAGTTGCACTGCAACGACACGGCGGCGTGATACCCCGTGGGGAGCATCGATGCAGACCAGCACATTGACACAGGAAGAGTTGCTTCCCCCGCCGAGCAGAGAGGGAAACGGCCTCAACGTCCCAATAATGAGAGGTCGCCTGCACCTCCTCGCGGCAGCTGCAAGCTCTGAAGACACAAAGATGCAGGTGACGCTCTGCTGCACGCATGACGGCCGTCTCATCCTTCACAATGTCAACCGCATCCTGTGGCACCACACATCGCAGTGGACGCGTATAGTCTCCGTCTCCCTCCCTCCTTTCCCTCTCCCTGAAAACTCATAGGTGGCCGTGGCACACTCACCGAAATGTCAGAAAGCACTTGTGTTTCTTCTTCTCTCGCACACCGCACAGCAGCACCGCCAAACGCATGTCACTCCTCCTTTCGCGGATTCTCCTCAAACACGCCTCCCGCCACATTCATCAGCTCACAGGCACACAGTCCGTAAACGTCACGCTCTGCCGCCCCGCACGATGGTGCCGCACACACACCAACACGGCACCCCGCCACTCGGTGCAAACAGTATCTGGACACATAAAACAGGTTGCCCCAGTCAACGACAGACCCCTCCAAGCAGTGAGGCAGGACTCGTCGCTAACAATCAAACAATCAGCTCTTTGTTTCCTCCTTCCGCCATGCACGAGGTTCTGCCTGCCCCATGCATCATCCGTGACGCCCAGGCTCTCAATGAGCGAGCAAAACGCTATGCTCCCCTCGACTCAACGAGACGCCCTCTGAAGATTCTCAGCCAGTCGTCTCCATGGGCTGTGCATGAGGAGCACCACGGCAAGAATGCAGAGGAGCTAATATGCAAAACCCTCAACTCATTCCACATCAACAAGAAGTGTGGCATCATGCCTGGGCTTCACAAGAATGTCGGCTGGCGCTTCCCCGAGAGGCCTCCCATAAACACCGCACGTGGTCACAGTAAAGAAAAAGCAACGCCTCCAATATGGCTGTCACCCCGCGGCAAACATCAAAGCACAATCCAACAAAATGCCGCAAATCATCACATATTTCAAACAGACCATCGACAGCTTATGCGGCAAATGCACAGCACGGAAGAAGGTTCATGCCCACAAACACGCAGCGCACAGACACAAAGAAAGATAGTTAGGAGAAGCAGCACCCAAAGCCATTCTTTGTGGATGCAAATGATAATAACACCAAACACAGTGAAGCACCAGTCGGGCACCACATATGGGCCACAGACACCACCCACCCACCCATTCACTCTTCCTCCTCCCAATGGCGTGGCCCTCCTGCACCTCCACGAACACGCCTGTCCCTCAGTTATGTGTGCCTCTAACGCAAGCACTCAAGGTGCGTTTCGGTAATCCAAAATTCAGCACCTATGAAAAACAGAGGAAATGCTCGCAGAGGCCACACGGCTCCTCAACGCACCTTCCAAGCCCTCCTCACGACTCTTCAATGCAATGGAGACGAATACAGGCGGCTCTCGTGTCACAGAAGACGGCCAATGGGAGCGGTTTTCACAGCGCAGAAAATGCCAAGATGTGAAACAGAAGAGAAGGGAGGGTTCGCAGAGGGTGTCACCTGCCATGCCTGACGTGCGTCGTCTTATTCGTGCAACGGGGATCCAACGACACTGTTGTTGCGGTGCCTGCCCGTACGTGCACCTCACTCTCGCGCCAATGAACGCCTCAATGAACATCCTGCAGAGGGCAAGCAGCTGGCCATGCAAACAATCCCGAGTCTCGTCAACGTTCCAGCAGCCGCTCCTTTGGCGAGGCGTCGCTCTCTTTCGTCCTTGTCTCCCGTGCGCCATCCTCGTATGAAATGAAAATGCCTTCCACAACTGGCGTCACCAAGCACCTCCAAATAAATTAGGAAGGATTCACGGCCTCGAGAAAAAGCATCCAAAGTGGCAGTCAACGTGAACTCAGCAACGCATGTCATCTTCTGCAGCCGCGTGCATTGCAACTCCCCTCAGCTGCTCGGTGCCTCTTCCTTCCTTGTAGACCCAAACCGCATAGTACTCTTTGATTTGCTCGGATCCTCCACAGGCTCATGTAACCGTGTCCACCACGCCCGCGCAGCTCGTGACTGCATCACGTCTTCGTCCACTTCTGCGCCACCGAATAGCATGAAATAGGGATCCAAAACACCACATCCGCAAGGCAAACACACATGCATCGCTCCAACGGGTGCCACTGTAAGAAATCACACGACAGCGCACTATCTCTCGCTCTCCCATCAACAATTTGCCGTCAACAACATCAACGGCATTAAGAAGCAGCCTCGGGGCAATCCCTGAGCGCCATCCCCACCTCGGCGAGCGACCGACTCCGGGAACCCCTGCACTCCAGTGCCGTTCCGGGAAAGAACTCCTGCCATCGCCAACCGTGTTCCCCTGTCGCGTTGACACACGGAGCCCGCTTCAGAGAAACAACAACACGCTCCATTCAAAACGTGGCTATGAGAGTGCATGGCAACAGGCGCAGGGCGCACCCTCTCAGTTTCCATTGCCGACAAAGTAAAAGAGCATCACTGCCGACTTGCTGCAGCACGCACGGTTGTGCCTCTGTTGTCCTCCCCCGTGTTTTTTCAATTACATGGCCCGTGCTGCGGCAACGCGTGCCCCCAGACCTCTTGGTGTTTAAAATGTGCCCCAGCACAAAGCAGCTGGTCCGGACGCTTGTAGATGCCGTCAGCCCTGCGCCAACAAAAACAACGATCCCGTGAGGGAAACATTGCTGGCTCCTAAATTCCTCCGACAATACGGAGCAATTGGCCCTGGCGCCGCGATGAGGCAGTCAAGCATGAAATTGCAAGGGGAAGCAACGATGACGCAGGCACAAGGAAGCCATTCCACCCTCAATTGAATACGGCGCCCCACTCCAGGCAGTCACACGGAGAGCACTGTTTCCACAAAAGAACTTGGTCGTCGTCCATCCCTTAAAAATGCTTCGTTTAATGATGAGCCTTAGAACAAAAAAAAATAAGAGGAAATGAACAACGTAGTCATACTTCATCACCGCTGGCCATAATCATTCTCTCATAACAGAGCAATTTCCCTACTATGCCTCGTATGCACACACAGAAATCCACATGTATGAAACAACCCGCAATGTTTTTCTACCAGAAACCAAACTACCCCGTTCCCTCCATAATTTCTTCTTCTTTCACTGTTACGATCGCTCGCGTTGGACAGCTTCCGCATCCGTGTGTGATGCTGCCACCTGATGCTGCTGCATCTGCACTGTATGCACACACAGGCATTCAACCATATGAAACAAGCCCCAATATTTGTTACCAGAACTCAAACTACCCCCGCAATTCCCCAATTTGTTTTCCTATTTATTCCTTTAATTACTCCTCAATTCTAAGGCCTTCTTGGGGCGTCTTCGGATGATATTGACACTTGGTACTGGCGTACCTTTTCGTTCCAGAACGCCGCAATTTCATTGTTGTCCGCGCCGCTCACACTATCGAGATTGACGACATCACATCTCTGCCAGTCATTCATCGGCGTGCTGTCTGCGTGCTGCACGTAAATCATCTCCCACGACAGTTTTCGGGACAACTCGTCCCAACCATTAAAATATTCCGCCAGATACTCAGTGAACTGTCTCACAGTGCTGGTTGTGGTGCGGTGCTCACCCGCCGTAGCCATCCGCAGCCCAACCAGCGCCATTGGATTTGACTTCACAAAGAAAAAGGCGTCCACCAGCGGAAAGTTTTCCACCTCCGTTACGTACAGCACCCCGCACTCCACATCAATCCTCTCAGAAACGTGTTCCAGTGGCGGTAAGACATGGTGCCTGGCGGAGCGCTCCTGTGAGTACACCGCCAGCGCACAGCGGTGGGACTGACGTTGTGGTGATGGCCTCAGCTCCCTCAGTCTGCATTCTATTGCACGCACAAAAGATCCATTCAAAAATGCAAACACGGTGCACCTTCCAAAATTTTCTGGTATGAGATAATCCGTCAGCCCCGATATGAGTAAATTAAAATAATGCTGCTGCATTAACTTCGCCGACTTGAATAATGTTTTATTTCCGAGGTAAGCAGACACCGGTAAATTGAAAAAAAATTCAGAACCGGAATTTTCACCTCGTACTCGGACAACCCTCGCAAGCCAGTAGAGCACCTTCATATGATCCCAGGATCCACCACGTCCCAAACCACTGTATTGCAAGATTACAGAAGAGGTCGCCTCATCGACGATCTTGTGACACCGTTGAACCCAATTATAATACTTTCGCTCGTCAAAGATATAACGTGGAATAGGTCCCACTTCATCCATTTGGCCCTTCACCACATGCCAGTACTCCGCTTGCTCCCGCACGGGCTGATGGCGCCTCATCCAAACGCACATCGCCTTCACATCGCTTTCACCAGGGCAATTCATAACTATTTTTGTGGCATCGCCCCACTTCACCCATTGTTTGTAGTTCCTCTCGAGTGGGGGTGACACCAAAACCATGCCCCATCCCCTGGGAGGCAAATCACCAGACGGTGCACCATCCGGCTCTGCCACATCGTAAATAATATACCCCTTCATCCCACGTTCAGAAAGACTCCTCACGACAGACGCATTACTGGAGTCGCCCATGTATGTCGACACCGTCCTGCTGGTCTTGTCAAACAAGAATGTTCGATCCGCAATAAAGTAAACAACCATTGGGAGCTGCTCCGCATCGCAGTGCAGCAGCTGGTAGAGGAGGTACGAGCCGGCATTCATCGACTTCCCGATCCCGGGCGTCCCAATCAACACACGCCGCTCAGGCCCAAAGTCGGCCTCACCGTGACTGCTGGACCACGCGGTTAGATCGCCCTTGACGATCTGCCACACTCGCTCCACCTCACAGTTCACGTAGCAGCCACGAGTGGATTCATCCTCCTTCCACGAGTACGGCCATCCCTTGTCCGAGGTGCGCACCATCAGCCTGTGACGTGGTACACCGGACTGCTGCGCACCGTCATCCTTTCTAGAGTCATGCAAACTACCCTGTCGTTCCATGACTGCGGTGTTTCTCCTTTCCCTCGCATCCATTCCCGTCTACTCGCCGCCAGGAACCCCCACAACATGATGCCACCTCGCATTCTACACAGACTCCGACAATCCCTGCAACAATTACCCTTCCACCAGACTGTAAATAGCCCACATTAATCGCCGCACCTCATTCGCCCTTCTGCGAGTCGTAGCGGGTTGATCTGTGTCGCTGTGGGTCTCCGGCCTCGCTCCCCTCCGACGATCTCCCCGCGGCACAGTGGGCGCAGGGCCCTCATGATCGCCATGCACTCTCTTGCGCTTTCCACGCATTGTTTCCCCTTGTCCCCGCAGTTGGCTCGCGTTAAAGCCGAACACTGTCCACCAATCAAAGGAGGAAAATGAGAGAGATGGGAACAATAGGCATAGTCCCGACGGGCAGCCAAAACAATAGAGTCATCCATACAGTGTGACGGCAAAGCGTGCGATGCACAACACATGCACAAGGACCACCACAACGACGGCGAGTGGCTGCCATTCACCCAGCACAGTGTTGGGAAAAGCTAACAACAAAACCAACAACACCGTGGTAGGCGCGGAGGGTTCGCCCACGCATTCCGCTCGCCACGGTCCCCGCACCCGTGTGGCACCGCCCTTACCGCAAACACTCTGCAAAAATACATGTAGGCATAGCCCCTAACACAAAAAAGTGGGAAAAGAATTCGGTGCAGCGACGGCCACACGCAGACACCCCAATTCATACATGCCACAGCAGCAATGCATCATGAAAAGCTCCCGCACAAGGTATATATATATAGAAAATTTCTGCAATTCGCACACCACAAAAGAACCATGACGCTCTTTTTCCCATTGCATCCGTCATTCATATTCCCAATGCGTAACCCCGCAGATACCGCTCCCTCATCGTAAAAACAACTGCCTCGTTGTGGTGTCGTCGCGCAGCAACCCGCCTGGATGGAAACGAAGGGAAAATCAGGCGTCCGTCCATATGGAATGAGAAAGAACTCCAACAAAGTGTCCTATTTGACGCAAACGCTCCGCGGCCAGTGCCCGGTGTCGTGTGCGGACCCCGCGAGGAGTTTGTGGGCACGCCACTGTGCCACACGGTGTGCCCCCTCGAAACGCAACATCAGGCGTGTCTCCTTCCGGTCGCACTCGTGGTGGTGGCGGCATCCGCTGCCTCGCCGCGTGCTGCTGGCGTCGGTTACAATTCTGCAGAGTGAGAGAGAGTGCCCGGCAGAAGCGGTGCTGGGTTGGGTGGGCAATGCCCTCCGCGGCGAGACACCCAGAGCGACTCTTGACCGCGGCGCTCACGCACTTCCTTCCGCTCCTCTCCATCCATCCGGCAACCGCACAGCCGCCGGCACATTGTCTCCGAAGCAACACACACGTGAAAACGTGGCAGCATATTTCCCAAGAGAACAGAGTGACAGCCACACGCTGCAGCCATCGTGCCGACAAGTCCGGCGCGGTCGCACCCACACCCACAGCAGCCGACACACACACAAAAAAGAGATCTGACACTCCGTGCCAAATCCTCGTGCGTGATGGTGCGGCGCCCAAAAACAATACCGCCAAATGCCGTTCATCATTTCCACAGAGGGCGAGAGCCACGGCGCACTCTCACTCCCTTCCTTCTCTTCATTGCCACGGAGTGATGCAGCAGCAGCCACACGCAGCTTCCACCACCGCGTGCAGGAGAAGCATACAACTGCACCGCAACATGTACGCCGTGCGGTTGTGTGCCTGCTGACACGCAAAGAAATAAAGAAAAAAAAAAAGAGAGCCACGCACGTGAAGAAGCACACAAAAACACGCAGCAGAGGTGCAGGACGGAAAAAAAGAGAGGGACAAGTCCAATAAGGCTCAGCATGGCACGGCAGCCCAACCAGCGTCAAACCACAACACGCTTGCGGAAAATAAAAATTAAATTTAAAACAAAAAAAGTTAAAATAAAAAAAAATCGCCTTGGAAAAGTTTTCAAGTCCACAAAAAATAACACAGTAACGCGGAAAAAGAGAAAAAAAAAAATGGTTGCATATTCTTCCTGCAAAAGTAAGAATATATTTGCTTCAGCCGTTAAACCCTGTGGTGTCCACACAACACTTACATTTCATTGGGACACTCAGTGCGTTGCTGCACATCTAGCCCCCCTTTTTTCATCGCTCCATCGTCGTGGCGCTTAATGCCGAGTGCACGTGTCATCAACATACGGAAACATTAAAGACATCCCACCCGTCTCAAAAAGTTACACTATATATATATATATAAACAAATGCCTTGCGGTGCACTCCCCGGAGGGAGAGCACACCCTTCGTAAAGACTTCCACGGGCAGAATGAAGTAGTCAAACCAGAAATAGAAAAAGATAAAATAAAGGGTGCGTCCACGCAAAAAGTCAATTATTTCGGAGGGTGCGTAGAGAGGCACATATGTTCCCACTGGTGGCAGGGAATCCCCACTCCGACTTCTCAGTAAAGGACCACAAAGCCGCTCAGCCCCAGCAGCAGCAGCACCCGCGGCACGCCCCCACGCATGGAGTCGTCACCATTACCTTTTGTGGCGTCGCTTTTCTTGACCATTTTTAGTTCATCGTCACTCAGTGGGCGGTCGCACAAAAGACCTTCGTCATCGTCACATCGCTGTCGCTGTCGTCGTCGTCTCCCCCAATGTAGAAGTGCGAAACTTCAGCCCCACGCGTCTTAGGTGTTGGTCTCGTTTCCAAGCTCCCCACAAGCCGGCCATCCACGCACACGGAGCTCCTTGTTGCCGCCCTGCACCGTCAGCGCCACCTGGTATTCTTTCCCCGGCTCCCAAGTTCTGCCATGTGCAGTTTTATTGCCGTCAAACATTATCTCCCACTTACCCTCAGTGCTGTGCGACAGTCCAATGATAGTCGTGCTGACCGGTGAGGCCAGCACCGCACCCAGCAGAGAAGTGCTCAACCTCGGAACCTTTTGTATGGCCACCATCGCCACAAGAGTGAAATCGCGGCTTACAGAAGTGTACAGCCCAGTTCTCTCCTGGCTGTTTACGGGCCACGTTGCCCCGGGCCCAGGCCTCGTGAATTGAAACCCATTTTCAACCTTCACTGCATTCGTCACCGTTGCATTCACGCAACGGTAATCGTCAATCCACGTCCCGTCACCACTGGCTGCATTGGATAAGAGTCCAACCAGACCAGCCGTGGGCATGGACGAAGCGGAGAAGGAGGCATCCAGCTGTGCCCAAGTACTGAGGGCGGACCTGATCGTCTGCAGATCCTCCATCAGGCGAGAAAGTGAAATGGTCCTGCCTGCTCCAATAACCGCATACTGCGAAGGGTGCAACGCACCATCCAAGCACAGCGGGGTGTTGGCAAACGTCTGACTCTCATCATCCTCCACAAAAAACAATCCAACATGAAACGTGTGGTTGTTGTCCGTAAAAAAAGTTAGAGCGCATTGGCTCTTTTCTCCCCCGAGAGTTACCCTCTCTGGGTGTACAGCATGAGATCACCTCCCTCAATGTTCGCGGCGATAAGGGCTTCCACACGCAGGCTCATGTCCCAAGAGACTCCTGATTGTGAGTTGACCCACACGCCTGGGAGTATCCTGACAGCCTCCGTCCACGCGTTCCCCATTTCATGCAACTCGTACAACTTGCGGCCACTCTCAAAAAGAGCAACCATGAAAGGTGATCCCTCCCATTCGGTGGCGTGAGAGTCAAGGCATTCCGCAAAGGAAATGCCTTCTAGGTGCACCCAGTTATTTCCGTTGTCCGTCAAATAAATGGTAATGGAGAAAAATTCACGCTTGTCATTACTTGCCGCAAAAGAAAACACAAGCATGCCATCCTCCATGAAAGCACCGGCGCCAGCAGTGGGGAAACGCTCCTTCGCGTCTCTTTTATTCCGAGGGATCTTCTTTTTTAACAGCAATTTGGGTTCACTCCAGTTGATCGGTTCACTCGGCTCGCCATCCCTGGAACGAGTGGCCTCACCCACAACCAGTCGAATGCCTGATTCAATTACGTTACAACTCTTTTTATCTTCGTATTGCTTCTATTCATAGATTCCCACAAGTGGAAACGCCCTCTTGTCCTTCGCAGTGGTTGTGGGTTGGCGCGCAACACCCACACCTCCCGTTTAATTCACTGTACTCAACACCGTGTGCGTCCTCTATGTAACCTTAATGGCCTCAACGACAAGAGAAGACAAACCCCACGCAGGGTTGACGTACCCCGCAACAAAGTCAGCTGGATAAACCTGTTTTGTTGGGCAACGCGCCAAAGTACCCTCAGCAAGCACAGCCATTACTCCACCAGCGCGGACGAGAGAGGGTGAAACAAAGGAATCCCTCAGTTTACTTTCAGACCCATCTTTTGGTTTTACCGGCGTCTCCTGCAGCACAAAAATTTCGGCAAATTGCAGCAGCTGCGCATCCCCTGACATACTCCCCACAGCGTGTGCACCTCCACTGCCGCAGCAAACCAACACAACAAGAAGCGCCAGCACGGCAGAATAGAAAAGATGCCGGGACATGTCGGGCCTCTGCTGCCCACTCTCTCCATTCTTCCGCCGGATCTGGTCTCGCGGCGACAGTTGTGTGTGCGGGATGCCTTCACAGCAGCAACACGTGAGAGCATATAAATATATGTGTGTGGGCGGTGTGTGTGTGTGTGTGTGCATTGTATTTAATATTAAGGTCCGTTTTTTTCTCCCCTGTCATTTTCTTCTTGTGTTGTTGCTTCTGCATTTTTTTTTTATTTTTTATTTAGGAGCTTGTGAAAAGAATGATCGTGGGAGAGCTGGTTAACTTAATTAATGTATGTTTATATCCTGGTAAATGAATGCATTCTTTATGATACTCTCTACCGTATGAATCTTTTGGGAAGAATACGAATTTGTAGGGGCAGGGAGCCGATAGAGGCCAGAGTATTTTATTTTTATTTTGCCATCCCACCCACCTCCTGTTTATTCCCACCACGCGGCGGGGTCTTGTGGTTGGAGGACCCCAAAGTCTGCCACTTCGTAAGTAATAATATTTAAATCCTAGCTGAGGACAAAATACCATGCAAATGGTCAATAGAATTTATTTATTGAATGAAAAGAAAACATTGAGGCAATTAAATACCTCTGCGATAAAACCCTTTTCCCCTATCTTGTTTGGTTTCCATAGATAATTTCAGGATCCGGACAGCGGCACAGATGATTATTCAACGCGGAATTCTCCTTTTTTTCTTCCAAACGTTTATATATATATATATATATATATATATATATATATATATATATATATATATATATATATATATATATATATATATATATGAGGAATCAAAAGTGAGTTATATCCTGGTTTTTTTTTTTTTTTTTTTTTCGGGATTTGGACCGCCCCCAGATTCATCTGCTCATATAAATGAATTATGCCTCCCCTTCTTCCCCCCACATATCTTTATTTTGACATGTATTATGACTGGAATAGTGGTTTCTACCCTTGGCTTTTTATTATCATTGTTTATTATTATTTTACCTTTTTTTTTTCTTTTTTTTTTTTTTTTTTTTTTTTTGCGTTTGAATACAAGAGCATAAAAACAAAAGTAAAAATATTCATGTCCCATCCAAGTGAACCCAATCGCTTCTGTGAGAGAACAGACGAGAAAGTTGTAAATGTTAAGAAAAGCACAATTGTTCTTTTTGACTGGGAGGAACGTGATGGAACACGGTCGGAGGATTATTTGCCTTCTTCTGAACTGGATGTAACCCCTCAAGAAGACGACGAAGCCAGTGAAGAGGTTCGCATTGGAGTCATTGAAAACGCCAGTCTTTTTAAGTGCGCGTTTAATATATTTAAGGGAAATGTGGGATCTGCCGTTTTTCTTTTACCCACCTTCTACAAGGATTCTGGGTACATTATTTCCCCAATTATTGGATTGCTTATTGGGTCTATTGTTGTAGATTGTTCTCGATTACTCGTCCGCGCTAAAACAAAGGTAAACCGGAAATCCGTTTCAAATTATTTAGAACTTTGCGATTTTGTCCTTGGGAACCCCTTTCGCTATGTTCTTCTTTTGGCCTTGCTTTTGACACAATTCGGGTTTTGTTTGCTCTACCTACAGCTTTTTGGTGGATCTATGGCAAAACTGGTGCCAAGTTTTTCAGGAGATGATTATGTTTGGATGACCGTTATGTTTGCCCTTGTTCTTCCAGTGTCGTTTTTTAGCGACAACTTGTCGTTTCTCGCGATTATATCCATCATTGCCACAATATGTGTTTTTTTCGCGTTGATTTCTACAGCCGTTCTGTCGTTTATGACACTTCATGAAAAAGGCGTGGAACCGAGCACGACACGTTTTGGGACTTCTGTGCCACTTGGTTGGTTTAATAATATGGCAAATAATATGATGATGCTTGAGGGAATTGGTGTTGTTTTACCCGTTGAAAATTCATGCAAGAACAAACCCCGATTTTCTCTGCTGATCACCGTTGTTCTGTACCTGGTTGTTGGTTGGTATTTGCTGTATGGTTTGAGTGGATATCTGGCCCACGGTGAGGTGCTTAAAGTCTCGCTTGTGGATGCGCTTGATGTGAACCCATTTTCCATTGCTGTGCGTGTTGCATTTACAGTCAATATCATATGCACATATCCCATCCTTTTTATGCCCGGGATCTTGCAACTTGATTCACTTTTTGGGTGGCCCCCACGATCGCGGAAAGGAATCTTGATGAGAATTGTAATAAGTCTTATTATTTATGGTATTGCAATGGGTGCGGGAACTGGTGCTGTGAATATTGTTGTTTCTTTGATCGGTGCACTTCCAGCGGTAGTCATGTTAATACTATTACCCTCATTGCTTTCACTGTGTCTGGAAAACAGTGTCGAAGAACCTCATGAACCCAGAGTGACTTGGGTATACTGGCGCCACAACCTATTTGGCAGACGATGCACTTTAATAAGGTTACGTGTCTACATTTATTTATGCCTTGGCATTGTTATTATGGTTGTGGGGACACTCAGCGTTGTGAAGGGTTTAGTGGAGTGATTTTTCTGATTAGACGTTTTTTTTTTCTTTTTTTATTTTGCAATTCGATCTTTTTTCTTTTCTTTTCCTTTTTTTTTTTTTTTTTTTTTTTTTGCAATTCGCTCTTTTTATTATTATTATTATTATTATTATTATTTGTTTGTTTGTTTGTTTGTTTATTTATACAACCTACAATGTCTTTTGTTCAGCAGAAGACACAATTCGGGAAAAAATACAGGGTTATTATTACCGTTATTATTATTATTCAACGATGATGTCTTTATATATATATATATATATATATATATATATATATATATATATGCCTTTCTCTTCTAATGAAATTGTCACGTTACTTTTATTTTGTTTTACAGAATAAGCTACATGTGAATCTTTTTTCTTTTTAATTAGATGTGTTTACATGAAAAAAGGGAAAAGTTAAAATTATTATTATTATTATTATTATTATTA